TAAATAATTTGGAAACATGCAGGCTATGTGTATAAATATATGTATTTGGACATTGGACAGAGGGTCACAAGATGTCTATGTCCAAATCTCCAAAAGCTAGCTCCTATAAATACCCACATCTACAAAGCCAGTAGAAACTGCTCAATATAACACAACTTTGTAATTATGTAGTGAAAATGATCACAAACTAATTTTTTGTTTGCTTGTTTAGTTCCCATGAGACTGAAATACCTTCTTTGCTTTTCTCTTCAATACCAATGACGTTAAGTCTGGAGCCTCGAGTCAGAGGATGATTTCTGCAGTAACAGTATACTCCCAGCCAAATCTGAACTTAGGTGGGATTTGCTGTTCCATCTGGAAGTATATGAGTCTATGGGAACAAATGAGATTCATCCCAAGGGTACTCAAAGAGCTGTCTGATGTCATCACAAGATTTCTTAATTATTTTTCAACAGTCTTGGGAGTATGGAGAGGTCCCAATACTGAAAGCTGTTGAATATTCCAGCTTCCAAGAAAGACAAGAAAGACCATGCCTTGTAGGTCTCAATTGAGTGCCTGGTAAATTTATGAAGGAGATTACTCTGGAAGTGGTTGAATAACATCTGAAAGACAATGCAGTCATTTGTCACAGCCAACACAGGAAGGAACGTCCTGTCTAATGAACCTAATTTCTTTTCATGACAAAGTTACCCACCTAATTGACCAGGGGAAGTCAGTCAGTTTTTGGATTTCAGCAAAGATTTAAATGCTTTTTTCACAGTATCCTTCTGGAAAAAAATCTTTAGCACAGAGCACAGGATTTGGACTTGCTCCTTGTGAGACCATTCCCATTTAGGATATTCTACTGTATGACTCCATGGAAACAAATAGAAACAGAAACAAAAAAAAAAAAACAGTTTGTTTTTAGCAAAAGTGCAGCAGCACTGATTGTTTTTTTTTTTCACTGAAGTTGCAAATGCAGAGACATGCTCTGGCACTGTCTCATTCCAATTTATAGGAGGAAGAGGATGTTCTTTTAATATCTGTACACCCGGCGTGAGATTAAGGAACAACAGTTCAAATGTTGGTCCGACCAGTTTATTGCAGATCTTAATTAGGGAGATGAGGAACGGGAGGACGGACACCATTATGAATTAGGGTAATGGGGAAGGGAAGGAGGGCAATAGAAAAGACAGGAAAGAAGAAGCAAGAAGTCTTTATAGGCAGCAAAAGGGAGATAGTCACCACCAGGGATCCAGTGTGGTTCGTAGTTCAGTCTTTGATCTTCAGTAGCAGTGGGTTATCAGGCATTGTTGTTCTGTTGACGACAACAGCAACAACAGTGACCACAGTGATGATGGGCCCTTTGCAATGGTTTCGAAATGGTTGAGTCAGCTCTCCTTGGAGTGGCAGCTTCTGGCTCTGGGATCTCAGCAGGAAACTCCTTTGTTCCTATCTTCCTGGCCTTGCCAGCAGATAAGAGGGAGCAGGGAGGCACCAATTTGCATCTTGCCTTCACTGGATACAATGGCATCATCCCCCAGCCTCTCATAACAAACTAAAGTTATTCTATCACAGGCTAGATATTCTGTCAGTAAACTGTCCTGACCTCTATCTTCTGAAGGCAAACTGCTAAAGTTGTCCACACAGTGATGTTGACTGCCACGTAACACCCATCACTCATCTTCTAGACAAGTCAGTCTTATTACAAGAAATACCTCAGCAAGCAAGCTTTGAGCCAAAAAAACAAAGAAGGATTCTCACAGGCACGATATGAATTCTTTATTAAAGCAACATTAAAGATGCAACATTTCAGTTTCTTTTAATAAAACAGGAAGATTTTTTTCAAACAAAAATGTCAAGAAGCAATTCTATTTTTCACAAGCAGCATTAACGTCTGACTTCTTCTCTACTCCATGCTTTTAAGCCACTAGAGATTACCAGCTTTTTATATTTTTTTCAAATAATTCAGTTTTTGTAAGTAGCACATGTACAATAAAAAGTCGATCTGTTCATTTACAACATGTTTGAAAATCAGTCTGTGACTTCTACAGGTGATATAAATGTTCATATTTAATAAATATGCTTTCTAAGCCTGTGCAAACTGTTAAATATTAAAAGTAATACAGAAATGATATATACTTCTTCACAATAAAAATGAGTGCTGCCAGATATTAAAAATTTCCCAATATTGAGTTCATTCATGTGGCTATTTGTGTAACTCACTCTAGATTATTAGTAGCAGTATTTCTGAAATCACGATTTTGTTTCTCTGTTTCAAATGTTCTTGATTATGTGGGAGGAAGTTAATATGACAAAGCTGTATTTTCCTGCTGCACATGAACTTCGACTTGCATACCACCATTACATTTGTATGAAGAGTGTCTGAATAATACTAGATTAATTTATGATTTGGAAAAATGAGCTGCAATTACAGATGTTATAGTTGTATTACCATTAATAATATTTATAGATGATATGGTGCTCTTGTGAAGTTCAAATACACAATCATGGAATTTTAAAATGTCACCTGGGTTTCCAAGTAAATAAATATAACTTAGTAAATACTGTTCTTTAGAAATAGAAGTAATTATTTTTCAACTGGATTGCAGATTTCTGTTCCAATTCTCTTTGAATTAATCTATGGAGAATATTGTAAATTTAATTACATTTACATCGTAAAGTAAATTACATTTTATTGATTCACTTAATAAATATAGAAAATAAATTTTAAAAAATTGAGAAAGATTTAATTTATCTGTGAACAACTGTAATAATAACTGTTAGATATTTTGTGAGAAAGTTTTCTCATGAAATATGCTTTGATCCATCTCAGCAATGCAATTTTTCTCCTGGCTGAGATTATTTATGTTCAAGCACTCCAGTGATATGCCTAATACTACCCAAGTATTACTTATTAACATACCAGTCATCTGAAATTGCCCACACCTAGAAAATGAGTTGTTTCACTGTCACAGATAAATTAGGCTTTGACCTGTTGAAAATCGGTCCCTCAAGCTGTATGATGGAAGGTGCTATTTTGCCTTATAAACTGTCTGGCACTATCAGTAAATTTGTAGGGTTTCAATACTTTCCAGGAAATGGATTGAAGTAACTACTATTGAAAAGTCTTATGTATTACTCTTTACTGGAACTATGGCCTTGAATCAGAATATATCTGTAGAAAAAAAATTAAATGATGTCTTAAAATAATTTTAAACTCGATATAATTTTCATGGAAAACATACAAGGCACAAGATATAGTACTATAAAAAAAATGACAATTTGAAGGAGAACTGTGAAAATAACATACAACATGTTTTTAAATAACATTAGAGAATTAGGTAGAAATTTATAGGGAGCACTGAGCAATTTATTACTATGAAATAAAAATAAACATTTGAGTAATTAAATAGCTTTTTTGCACAATATATTTTATTTGTACAATGATTCTAGAGTTTTAAAAAATATGAGAGTGGGAAATTCATTTACTCATTTCAGAAACTTCTAAATGCACCTACAAATATTTACAGGAAGCAAAATTCAATGATCACAACTGTTCTTGCTTATCTATGTTTAATTTTCAGTGTAGATTGTAAATTACGCAGTGCTCAAACAAATGCCTACAAACCATATTTGCTCTTTATATCATCTCTACTAATCTGCCATAACGTTGCTCACATGATGTTTGTTATACTAATAAAAACATAACTGAAAATTGTTACTTTAAGTCACTGTGTCCTCCCTAGTCATGTTGCAATAGTAGAGGCATCAGCTGTGTATATGATGTGGATTTAGACAATGCTAAAACAATTAGCTTGGGAACCAGAGAAAGGAAAATAACAAGGAGCCCTTAGTGAGCTCAACTATCATGACTGGTAGGTGGCTTTTAAGATCACATATCCTGACATAATCACAGATGTTCCTTTATATATAGGACTGTATTTACATTTTCTGTTTAGCAATATATAAAACTCAGTAAAACATTTTAATGTGATGTCTACATTAGCAAAAGAGTGGAGAATATCAGAAGTGGGATTTATAGAGAGCAGATTTGTGGAATTGGTACTGTGTATCCAAAGCCCAAACTGCATGTATAGCAAGGTGTTTTATTTATTAGATATTCTTCACTTTTTCTTCCCACTAGCAGCTAGAGATGTGTTCTTGTACAGCAATTTTTAATCTTCTTTATTCTGAAAGGAATTTGGTTTGTATGCTCTAAGAAAGCTACACCATGAGAAAAAGAGAGCAGTGGTCTCATATCAAGAGATATGTTTCAAATGTGCTTTTCTAATCCAAACTAAAATACTAACTAGCATAATGCTTATAATAACACATTGCACCTAGAATTACGTCACTTAAGTACAGGAGAAAGATTAAACTTATCATAAGCAAAGCAGAAGAAAATCAAAGCTCTAGTCCTATGATTGATTAAAGTCCAATTTTCAGCTGCACATGATCTAAGCAACCAGAAATTTGAATGTGACATCCTAATTCAAAGAAAAATCTGCTATAACAAGACAGTAATTATGTTAACTCCATTTGATTTATGTGAGAAATAAATAAAAATCCCTGCTATGGTCATTATAGCAGAGGCTGAGAAAATAGTGCAACTCTACTGTTAGTGAGACTGTTTCAGACTCAAGCAGGTAAATGGCTACCTAGACATTACTAATCTGTATCAGGACAAACATAAGCACATTCACTGAAATCAGTAAGTCAATCTTCCCTTCACATGAAATACATGAACTCATGCAGTTACAGAGGAAAGATGTTTTCAGAAATAAAATTCTCCCTCCCTCTCAGCTACTGGCCAACATCTAGCTAAAGTGCAAAATCTGAATGCAACAAGGCAAATGATTTTAGCGGATACTATCATATTAAATAAGGATATTAATTAAGACCATGTTCTCATGGCTGCCCAGGTTAATTCTCAGCTATTCAAGAATTTAACTCAAAATATGTCTAATACTTATATTGGTCTTTTGGGAGCATAAGAAATCTTGCTAAATTTTCTGTACAATCACTAAGGTGAAATGTCTGCTTCTTAAGAACACAGAGGACAGGGCAATGAATTTACATTAGGAATCTCATTCTGCCTATTTAGTAGTAGAAATACCTTATCTTTCCTCAAGATTTAAACCTGTAACTGAGGACAGGCAATAAATCAGATCTGGTTCCTTTAGCAAGAAGAATTCACAGCAATGTTCCCACTACATTACATTTGCAAAACATTCTTTTTTTTTTTTTTTTTCCTGAAACTGTTATTTACTCTAGAAGTGAGCCACCAGGTGGTCAGCTGTCTGAAGCTATAACTGACCTCTGAAGGGAGGTCCAGCATAAGTATTTTCCACTCCTTTTGGACAATATGGACAATAAAGGGATCAGAAAGAGAGAAATCAGAAAGGATTTTTGACTTTTTATAAGGAAACAAATAGAACTGGCATTTTAATCTTTGGTCATTGGAATATAGATACTAAGCTATCCTAGGAGAAGGAAGTGTTGATTTCAGACAGGCTTTCTTTACTCTTGTTCTTGCTGTGTCTGTACGTAACATTTGGGCTCTTCTCACAGTGTCTCAGCTGTAATTACTGCAGTGGAGATTCTGGCTGTCTTCCGAGGATCCTTATCTGAACTTGAATTGAAAATGTCAGGTTACAACTAAGATTCTAGGTAATGTTTAAAAGTTGCTTCTTTCTCTTCCTGAAAGTTCTGGAAATGTTTGGGCCACTGAGGCAAGTGATTTCTGATCCAAGTGTTTAAAGGTTTAGGAAGAGCAAATAGAGTAAAGTGTAATTTAAGACTTGAATGAAAATTTACCATTTAGGCATGTTGCAAGGGAAGCAGATTTAATCATTCTCCTGTAAACTAGTAGAAAAAGCATCCAATAATTTAAATTTCATACTTCAGTTTCAAGACTTAAAATCAGTTTCACTTGGTTTGGGGCTTGTGTCTGTATGCCTGTATGTGTGCGTGACAATCTCCAGATCAGCTAGTTCTTTGATGAGTGCCAAACATATAAAAGCATCTACCTAGTACACTGGTTTCAAGTTCATCTGGATGCTGATCAGCCTGTGCTGAGTGCTAATTCCTAATTTCTAATTCCTAAGCCTTTACAACCCTAAAAAAGTACTTATAAGGAGAAAGTGTACTCAAGAATATATTTCAACAGTATTTTTAATGAATAGACTAATACAAGTTAATATGAAGGAAAATTATCTCGAAAAACCACATTTATCTGTATTCCAGGAAAGCTAAAACAATTAATTAGAATAAGTAACATGCTCAGTGAATTGTTGCATTTAAACCATCATGAAATATTTCTTCTTCCACAGAAAAAGAACATGTAAAATTATTCAATGTATTAGAAAACAAAGTTTTTTAAAGCTCTTTTTAAAGCTCTTAAATGCATTTTGGAAAAAGAAAATTATATCTTGGCAGTCAGCTTTGCATTTACTTCATACCTAGCAGGAATTGCTTTGAGTCTTCGTAAGGAGAAGTGTAAATGATTCTGACTCTAATCCAGATGTAATCAAGTTCATTTACTTTATGCAGTCTTGTCTTGGAAGTAAGTTTTTCTGCCAAACAGCAGAATAAAGTAATTAGATTGTGATGAAAGCTGTGTGTTTTCATCTGGTGAAGAACTATGACTCAAACTTATGTATGAGAAGTAGGCAGGGTAAATAAGCAGAATGAAGCAGGTGTGCATGGCACTCTGTGCTGGACAGGTGAACATCAAGAGACAGAATCACTTTTTAACACATGAATATTTGTTCAAAAAAAGATAATTCCTAACAGTTAATATTATAACTAGATATGTTCTGAACATGACAAAATGATCATTTAAAGATAAAACAAGCTCTTTAGATTTATATACTTTTCTGAGTTTTCAAATACTAGGAAAAAAATTATATTGTATGCAAGATACTGATAATTACTACTGATAATTGCTATGATGTCTATAAAGAGATGGAAGTATTGGTAGATAAGAAGACAAAACTCATCATATGAGCCTTTCACAAAATCTCACGCAACAGCATTGTCTCTAAATTGGAGAGAGACAAGTGAATTATATGGTAGATAAAGAATTGGTTCAATGTCTGTATTTGGAAAGCTGTGGTCAATGGTTGAAATACCCAGGTGAAGATCCGTGATGAGTGGTGTCCCTCTGGGACAAGGTTTGTGGATGATACCAAGCTGAGTGGTGCAGTTGACACGCTAGAGGGAGGGAATGCCATCCAGAGGGACCTGGACAGGCTTGAGTGGTGGGCCCAAGTTCATGGAGTGGCCATGAGGTCCAACAGGACCAAGTGCAAGGTACTAAACATGGGTTAGGGCAATCTCAAATATCAGTACAAACTGGGTGATGAATAGATTGAGAGCAGACTGAGGAGAAAGACTTATGAATACTGGTGGATGGACAAGTACTCTTGGGGGGAATAGGGGAAGTACTCTTTCAGGAAATGTAGTGTCAGGAACAAGGAGTAGTGATTGTGTATATTTAAATTAAATATAAGGAATAAATTCTTCATTAGGAGAGTGGTGACACACAGGAACAGGTTGCCCAGACATGTTGTTCAAGCCCAGGTTGAATGGGGTTTTGCGTAAACCGGATCCTGCATATTGCAAGGGGAGGGACAGTTTAGTTGGCAGCTTAAAATAGATAGTTAGTATTCAGACAATGGAAGTTTATGTTCAAAAGCATATGAATATACCTATAGGAGAACTTTCAACTTCTATACAATACTCTTTTATCACCACCACTGAATGAGAAAAAAAATAAAACTGTCTATAAATTATCACTAGCCTAGTTTTTGTTAAAATTGCTTACTCTGAATTCCTATTTGAATTGATTATTTTTTCAGATATTTATCTCTCTTTGTTCTCTTTCTCTCAAATAACACACATTTTTATTTCTCATTTGATACTTTATTTTCCCATCAGATTGAATATTTTATTTTCATCTAGCCATTCACAATAGAGCAGAGTGATTCAACTATTCCAATCCACAAACAAATTCAACTATTTCAACAAAATCAAAAATTTGATGATTTTGGTTGAATTTTTGAGACTTTGTTACAAGATGCATTTTTGTTCTTTCTAGCAAGGTAATATTATCTGCAGGCAGAAGTAATCAGGTTGTGAAAGTCACATCTTGCTAACTTAAGAGTTTTATGTGAAAATGAAGCTATGCCAAGGTTTAACATTTTACAGTATTTGTTAAAAAAATAAAAGGAAAAAATACAGTGGAAGAAATTAAACTCATGAAAGTTTCAAATTTAGATAAGTATTGTAGGAAAAAACTTTTAACATCATATGTGCTAAGATAGAGTCTATACACACAAAAATTAATACATGAATTTGCAATGCCATGCCATAACAAACAGTAACACTGTGTGAAGTATTAAAAAACAGACTGGGTGAAAATTGAATCATAGAATCAGAGAAACATAAAACCTTAGATTTGGAAGGGACCTTTAAAGGTCATCTAGTTAAACTCCATTGCAATGAACAGGGACATCCAACAATAGATCAAACTGCCCAGGGTCTGATTCAGTCTTGCTTTGAAAGTCTCCAGGGACTGGGCATCCACCACATCTCTGGGCAACTTATTTTAGTTCCTCAGTACCCTCATTGTATAGTGAAAAAAAAGATTTTTTTCATTATATCCAACCTAAATCTACCATCTTTTAGTTTGAAACAATTTCCCCTTATCCTATCACCTCAGATCCTGCTGAAGAGTCTATCTCCTTCATTCCTGTAGAAAGGATATTGAAAGGATACCAAATTTTCATTGATAGGCAGAATGTTTAGTCGTCATACCTTTTCTATTCCTGATTTCTGCAGTGTAACTTCACACAGAGAAGGTCTGACAATATATATAAAATAATCAAAATAAGACATTATAGTCAAACTTCTTTCACTGTTTTTTTTTCTTCACACATGCTAATAAATCACAATGAATTTCAGTGAGCAGTGATTACAGGAAAACATACTTCTCAATGAATTGCTGTTGATTGTTTTTACAAAAAAATGTTCTAAGAAGCTATTAAGTCATGCATCTTGGCATTTATTGTGCACTAGGTACTCTACAAAAGTCAATTCTTAACCTCCATTGTAAATAATGCAGTCTTATTTCTTAAAGGAAGAAAACCGAGAGTGCAGTAAAGCACTCTGGTTGGGAGTACTTGGCAAATTTACTTCTACCTGGAATATGTAGGTTTTTCTACACTTGAAAGGAGAGCTAACTATGTATTTAAAACTATTGATGGCAGAATAGGAAGGACAAAAGAACGAGATAAGCACATTCTCCTAAGAACTGAAAGAAGCTCTTAGATCTCATGACTGTAAGAAAGTTACCAAAGAGCTATAATGTACTTTTAAATACTGAGAAGATCCTGTTTGGTTACAAAATTGGACATTAAAGATAACAATTTTTTAAAGAAATGCTACTTCATAGTAACAGAAATATTAAAAAAATATAAAAACTGTAAACCAAAGTATTCTAAAAATTTCTAACATTTAGGGGAAAAAAATCCTGGTGCTTTGATTTATTTTGCAGGCTAGGCACTATCAATTGTACATTGGCAACACAGTTCATGATAAACTGCGCTGCACGTTGAAATTGAGCTGGACTTAAAACTAGATGAGTGAAATAACTAGATTCAGAGTGGAGAAAATGTAAAGGAATGTAACTACAGTTTTGTTTTGTTTTCTTTTTTTTTTTTTTTTTTTTTTTTTTTTTTTTTTTTTTTTTTTTTTTTGTGGAAACGTAAGTCAATGTATATTTGTTTACCCCAAATTAGTAAGTTAATAGAAATAGCTCAAATCAACTCAGCAAGGACAAAATAGACTGTTCATCCTTCTCAAGCTGTTTTACATATGTTTGCATTTATCCTGGAACAGTGATACTTTATGACCAATTCAAAACAAGAAATTTTTAATAGAAGATGGCAGGAAATTTCATGTAAAGGCTGATGGCCAAAAGCAATACTTTCATTTTACACCAATTTGAAGCTTGTTTCTAATCTCTCAATTAA